GTTGTACTATGTTTGTTGCTCAAGAATTCTGGTAATATTGCATTGCCACTCTGAGGCCTGGCTAGCTAAGGAGGAGCATCTCAAAGAATATTGAGGCAGCATCTTTTTTTCTTCAAGGAAAATTCAGAATAAGAATTGATTTTTAGATTTGCAATGAATTAGTTTGTCAACCAGCTTAATGAGTTACCTATCTGAATATCTTGTGACTTTTTCCTTTAAATCTCAATGACAGTCAATACATTGCCACTATTAAACAATTGACTAACTTGAGATGAAAGCAAGGAAGAGTCTTGTGCCAAACCTGACTTTTTGTGGGATTCCAAAGGAGAACAAGTTTATTATTCAAAATGTGAAGCTGGAAGAGATTAGTCTCTGCAGTGGAACCATTGGTAGAGAAGGAACTTGAAATGCCAGCTTCAATGACCTTCTCAAAAAAAGTACAGCACAGGGGCTCATCGCCAATTCCTTCATCCGTCAGATGAAGTGTGTAAAATGTCCTGACAACACCCTTGATCTGAACACTGACATTTAATCTAATATGTCATCAAAGGTGCACAGTTGCATAAGCTGTCTGCACCACAGTTATTAAAGGAACTGATGACTGCCGGGCCCGTCACTAGATTATTTGTTCGATTATGTGCAAAAAAACTGGTTGCAACAAAAGAGAATTCCATGAAAGATCTATGCTGAAGCATCAAAGGATCCAGTCAAAAATTCTGCCAGTGCTGTCAAAACTTCCAAGCATCAGTCAAGAACAGATTATCCTTAAGTGTATGGGCAGTCCACAACACATATCAATGCCATGAAGTGAAATGATTTCCTGTTGGGAAATATTCAGACTAGTTGAATGAAAATGATCAGGATATCAACAAGCTTTAATTTCAGTGGCAGAGGAGAGCACCAGCCAGGGGGCAGCTGGGAAGGCAAGGTTCCCATATATATTTTTAAAAAAAAAAAAAAACAACTTGCCTCGAACAGGTGGAGCGAAGGCTGAGCAGGAGCAAATGTGGACAAGGACTGCTGGGTAAGCGAACTATTCCATTTAAGGAAATGGAGGTGGAACTGGAGCTGGATGAACGCTGGATCATTTGGGAGGCTGAGGGAGTGATAGACAGGAGTTGCAGGATGGTTGTCACACCCCAGAAAGGTAGCCAGGTGACTGTCAGGAGAGGGAATGAGAATGGCCAAACAGTGCAGGGAAGCGAGGGAAAAGATTGCTGCGCCTCTGGCGATGATCTCTTGTGTCCTCACTGTCCACTGGAGTAGTACCAGATGACTGGAGGGTGGCAAGTGTCATTCCCATGTTCAAGAAAGGGAATGGGGATAATCCTGGGAATGACAGACCAGTCAGTCTTCCTTTCGTCTGTGGTGGGCAAATTACTGGAAAGGATTGAGAGTTTTTTTTTATTTGGAAAAGCAAAGCCCAGTTTGATTAGAAAGTAGTTAGCCTGGCTTTGAGAGCGGCAGGTCATACCTTGCAAGCCTTTTTGATTTCTTTTGAGGATGTGACAAAATACATTTTAAGGCCGAGCAGTGGATGTGGTGTATGTGGATTTTAGCAAGGCCTTTGATAAGGTTTCACATGGTAGGCTCATGCAGAAAGTAAGGAGGCATGGGTTCCAGGGAAATTTGGCTGTCTGGCTACAAAACTGGCTGTCCAATAGAAGACAGGGTGGTAGTAGATGGAAAGTATTCAGCCTGGAGCTCAGTGACCAGTGGTGTTTTGTAGGGATCTGTTCGGAGACCTGTGCTGTTTGTGATCTTTATAAATGACGTGGATGAGGAAGTGGAAGGGTGGGTCATGAAGTTTGCTGATGACACGAAGGTTGGTGGAGTTGTGGACAGTGTGGAGGGCTGTTTTAGGTTGAAATGGGACATTGACAGGATGCAGAGCTGGGCAAACTGGCAAATGCAATTCAACTGAAGTGTGAAGTGATTCATTATGGAAGGTCACATTTGAATGCAGAATACAGGGTTAATGGCAGGATTCTTGGCAGTGTGGGGGGAACAGCAGGATCTTGGGTTCCATATCCATAGACCCCTCAAAGTTGCTACCCAAGCTGGTAAGGTTGTAAAGAAGGCATATGGTGTGCTGGCTGCTGCAGCTCTATAAAACCCTGGTTAAACTACACTTGGAATATTGTGTTCAGTTCTGGTCACCTCATTATAGGAAAGATGTGGAAGCTTTAGAGAGAGTGCAGACGAGATTTACCAGGATGCTGCCTGGACTGGAGGGCAAGTCTTAGGAGGAAATGTTGACAGAGCTAGGGCTCTTTTCATTGAACTGAAGAAGGATGAGAGGTGACTTGATAAGTGTACAAGATCAGAGGCATAGATAATGGGTAATCAGATGTTTTCCCAGGGCAGAAATGACCATTACAAGGGGGCATAATTTTAAGGTGATTGGAGGAAGGTATAGGGGAGATGTCAGAGGTAGGTTCTTTACACAGTGGTGGGTCTATGGAATGTGGTGGTAATGGAGTCAGATACATTAGGGACATTTAAGCGACTTTGTGCACATGGGTGATAGTAAAATGTAGGGTAGTTTGGTCTTAGTAGGATAATGTCAGCACAACATTGGGCTGAAGGGCCTGTACTCTGCTGTACTGTTCCAGGTTCTAAGCTGATTGATCAAGTGCCAGATTTTGAGCCTGCTTTGCAGAACACCTACGCTCGGTTCGCAACAACCAACTGCACCTCCCCGTCGCGAACCATTTCAACTCCCCCTCCCATTCCTCAGACGACATGTCCATCCTGGGCCTCCTGCAGTGCCACAACGATGCCACCCGAAGGTTGCAGGAACAGCAACTCATATTCCGCTTGGGAACCCTGCAGCCCAATAGTATCAATGTGGATTTCACAAGTTTCAAAATCTCCCCTCCCCCACCGCATCCCAAAACCAGTCCAGCTCGTCCCCGCCTCCCTAACCTGTTCTTCCTCCCACCTATCCCCTCCTCCCACCTCAAGCCGCACCTCCATCTCCTACTGACTAACCTCATCCCGCCCCCTTGACCTGTCCGTCCTCCCTGGACTGACCTATCCCCTTCCTAACTCCCTACCTACACTCACCTTTCCTGGCTCCATCCCCGCCTCTTCGACCTGTTTGTTTCCCCTCCACCTATCCTCTCCTCTATCCCTCTTCTATCCGCCTCCCACTCTCTCCCTATTTATTTCAGAACCCCCTTCCCCTCCCCCTTTTCTGATGAAGGGTCTAGGCCCGAAATGTCAGCCTCTCTGCTCCTATGATGCTGCTTGGCCTGCTGTGTTCATCCAGCCCTGCACCTTGTTGTCTCTTATTTTAGTGATGGAATACCCTGAAACCTTTAGCATGGAGAAGAGGAACCAACATTTACAGCTCCTTTCCCTCACCCTACCAATCTGGAATGAGGAAGAGGTCCAGGATAATCTCAGATTTCTAAATGGTGGCAATCCTTTTTTTTAAAAAAAAAAAAAAAAAGACAAATCCAAGTGCAGAAATTACAAAGGCACCTCCCTGCTCTTCCATGAAGAGAAAGTTCATTACAAGAACCTTTTTTGAACTGACTCCTTATACTTGAAGATCAACTCTAATCTCATCATGGGCTTTGGCTATCCAAAGACACAACTGGCATGATATCAGTTCACCAGCATTCAAGGAAAAACATGGTTTTAAACAAAACAAACCCAACCTTTTTCTCACTTTTTTGACTTCAAAGTCTTTGACTCTAAATCATGAGGCACTCAGATTCTGCAGATGTATGTGTTGTGTGTAGCTAGTGGTGGTACCCCTTTAAGAGAGCTGGTCAGGTGACATTGGAGGGGCAGAGCTTGGGACCAGTCTAGAACCTGTTGGAGGTGTGAGCATCAATGAATTGTTCAATCCGACCCCACCACCAAAGACATCTTTCCCTCCCCACCTTTATCTGCTTTCCGGAGGGACAACTCTCTCCGTGACTCCCTCGTCCGCTCCACGCTCCCCTCCAGCTCCACCACACCCGGCACTTTTCCCTGCAATAGCAGGAAGTGCTACACCTGCCCCCATACCTCCTCCCTCACCCCCATCCCAGGCCCCAAGAAGACTTTCCACATCAAGCAGATGTTCACCTGCACATCTGCCAATGTGGTATACTGCATCCGCTGTACGCGGTGTGGCTTCCTCTACATCGGGGAAACCAAGCGGAGACTCGGGGACCGCTTTGCAGAACACCTACGCTCGGTTCGCAACAAACAACTGCACCTCCCAGTCGCGAACCATTTCAACTCCCCCTCCCATTCCTCAGACGACATGTCCATCCTGGGCCTCCTGCAGTGCCACAACGATGCCACCCGAAGGTTGCAGGAACAGCAACTCATATTCCGCTTGGGAACCCTGCAGCCCAATGGTATCAATGTGGATTTCACAAGTTTCAAAATCTCCCCTCCCCCCACCGCATCCCAAAACCAGTCCAACTCGTCCCTGCCTCCCTAACCTGTTCTTCCTCCCACCTATCCCCTCCTCCCACCCCAAGCCGCACCTCCATCTCCTACCGACCAACCTCATCCCGCCCCCTTGACCTGTCCGTCCTCCCTGGACTGACCTATCCCCTTCCTAACTCCCTACCTACACTCACCTTTCCTGGCCCCATCCCCGCCTCTTCGACCTGTTTGTTTCCTCTCCACCTATCCTCTCCTCTATCCCTCTTCTATCCGCCTCCCACTCTCTCCCTATTTATTTCGGAACCCCCTTCCCCTCCCCCTTTTCTGATGAAGGGTCTAGGCCCGAAACGTCAGCCTTTCTGCTCCTATGATGCTGCTTGGCCTGCTGTGTTCATCCAGCCCTGCACCTTGTTGTCTCGGATTCTCCAGCAACTGCAGTTCCTACTATCTCTAAGGTGAATATCAGGTTTCAACTAGCAAACTCTTCCCAGTAACTCATTGGTGATGAGACACACCCTGAGATTAACAGTATTTAACAAGGCACTGTAACACTTTCAGAGAATAGAAGCAGTGACACAAGTTTCTGCAGTTTTAATTCTTGCAGCATGAATACAGGTAAATTATTAAAACTTTTTTAACTGTAATTTGAAAGCATTATTGTTGGGTATCAAAGATTTAGTATTGTGATAAATGAGCATAATTAATCATTTACAATAAGAAAGAGGACAACCAAAAGGTGCACTAACAATGCTTTTTTAAAATAACTTCTCACATATTGTTATTGAGGTAAATGCAAGAATTAATGCAGGGAAAGACTGTGATATTAATGATGATGTCTTGAATATTGAAGTATTTAACTCAGATGTTTAACTGCTTAGTTCAATACACAAGCAAGACAATCCAATTTACTGTTACAATGGAAAGGTTTTAAAGCTCCTTTTATTAAATACTTTCCTCTCTGAGATTCTGGGTCTGAGCAGGGATGTAGGATGAACTGGGTTTCGCTGTAGGGCGGTGGTGTGGTACAGATGGGCTAAATGGCTTCCTTTTATGGCGTAAATGGTGCCTCTGTGTTAAGTTGTGATCCTTGAGGATACTGGCTGTTTCAAGATACTCAAAAGATGTCACCAAAGCAAGGCTTCTGCTAATCTTGACAAAACAGTATTAAGTACAACTATTCTGGGAGCAGTATAAGATCTGCTTCTTTGTATTTATGATTTTCTACAAATTTTTAAATCAATTTTAATTTTAAATAGTTTGAATCAATTGTTAGATAACACATCCGTAATTCAGTAAACTGCTTCTTGAATGGAAAAAAAGTTTGTTCAGTGTTAAGTTGAAATAATTATAATTTCTGTATGAGCGTTCAACCAGATGAGGCATAATGCAAATTAATCTTGCTGTTATTCTTAAGATGCCTGAGCATCAATCTCCGATAATTTTATACCGTGAGAGACCATACATTCTTTTGGACTATTTCAATGAGATAGTTAATGTAAAGCTAGAATCACCGGATTGACAGTCGTTTTGTGCTCCTGGCCTGGTAATACAGGATGGTGTGCTGAAACTGTATTTTGTTTAACCCTGGGAGAGGATAAAAGAATTCAGAATGATTTCACATCAAGATTCAGGAAGTGAAGAGAGAATCTTGTGCCAAATAGTTTATTGCTCCTAAAGCGACATTCCTAAAATAAAAGCAGAAAATGCTATAAATATTCAACAAGACATGCAGCATGAGTGTAAGCAGAAACAGTTTCAGATCAGTGACCTTTCCTCAGAGATGTTTTGTTACATTTAATGGACTCCGCTGATGCCTTTGAAATGGTGTTAGTGGGTTGGGGTGACAGTTGTTCCAGCACATACAATCCATTCAGAGATACTTCTGTCACATAACCATGTGCCCTGACCTATCTGCTGTTTAATGGGGAGTTGGGAGGCATCATATGGTGTAACACTTTAATGCCTGTTTTATTTTTTATGGCTCATCTGACCCACTGGTATTTTATCCATATTGAAGGAGGTTCATGCAGGGCATCCAGCAGTTTTAGCCGGGGTGGTGTTGAACAAGGGATCGGACTACCTTTGGGATCCTTTGGTTTATCCGAAGTTCCCATATCCCATTCCCAGGTCATCCCTGTTCCATTAACCCTGGCCTTTTAAACCTGCCCTGCTACTCACCTCCCACTGATTCCTGATGTTTCCCACTCACCGCTACATCACACTCCAAACTTATCCATCAGTCCATGCTGCTCACTCAGCTTTGGGAACTACTTGTAGTCTCAGCTGTCATTCCTTATGGTGCACCTTAAAATCCAACTATATGTTTGACGTATCACTCTATTTCTTCATGGATGATACTTGTTCAGCTGAGTATTTCCAACATTTTCAGTTTTTATTTCAGATTTCCAACATCAACAGTATTTTGTTTCATATTATCTTTGTTTTATTCACAATTTTTGTCTCTGGGTCTTTCTGTGTCACAGAACACTTGACTGAAAGAATAGATGGACTATCATTTTGAAACAGTCAGTGGGAGGTGTGTGATAGCAGCATGGGCAGTTTCTTTTTAGATTTTCCTTCTCTCAAATTAGGGGAAAATGCCTGAAATTTGCATTAATTCTTCACAAATGAATGAGTGAGATCAGGAACTCCGTTTCAGGGGAATGTGGAATTAAATCTGTAATGCCATGGATTGTACACCCTTAACTTTCAAATATGTTTTGTTTTTCCTTAGATTTTCAAAATGGATTCTCTGTCGCAAATACCAAATTTGCTGTTGCTCTGTTTAAGAAGCTAAAGGAAAATGAGAACATTTTTTTGTCTCCATTAAGTATCTCAACTGCTCTAGCCATGGTGTATCTTGGTGCTAAAGGCAACACTGCTACTGAGATGGCTGAGGTAAGGGAAGGTTGAATACATTATCAAATCATGAATGGGGACATCATGGGGTCATTTTTGCATGCCTTCATTCTTGGTGTGCTCTTTTCATGGGTAGAAAGGCGGAATCTGTAATTAGTGTAGAGTGATTGCTGGTGTGGGACTCACTGATCAATGTTCTCTGCTGAATGAGGAGCTTCACAAAGTCCTCGTGGGTAAGGTCACTTAATCAGAACTTAATGGAAAAATTTATATTGATGTGTTCCTGTAACATTTGTGCACTATCAACAATCCCTGAAATATTTCCTCAAACCTGCCTTGTTTGGTTTTATCTGTAAGATTTTCATTGTACAGGTTCTATTACAGCTTTATGTTGCTAGCTTTATTTACATACTCGTGGTATGTGGTATATAAATTGCTTGAATATAATAGGCCTGGACCTCTTGGTGGGGTACGGCTGCTGTTTCCTTAATCCTATCCCAAATCCAAGCGAATGGGGAATTAACAATGAAAGCTGGCATCAGTGGTCCCTTAAGAATTGTTTGGCAGACTTCTGTGGTGAAGAGGAGGAATGACAAGGTTTTACCTGCTTAGTGTATATGGCTATGTTGAATGAAAATGATAGATCCTTGAGAATTGACCATTCTGCTGCCCCCTCAGGCATTTTGGTGGGTCTAATCCACGACACCCCCATGGTACAAATTGTATGTGCATACGCCTGTTGCAGTCTCCACTGGGGACTCACCGACCTAGGCATTTGCCAAATACAACAAGAGTAAGTTTGCAGATGACATCAAAATTGGTGGTGTAGTGGAAGTGAAGAGTACAATGGGATCTTGATCAGATGGGCTGATGAGCTATGAAGATGGAGTTTAATTTAGATAATAGTGAGGCATTGCATTTTAGTATGGCAAATCAGGGCAGAACTTATACTGTTAATGGTAGGGTCCTGGCGTGTGTTGCCGAACAACGAGACCTTGGGTGCAGGTTCATAGTTCCTTGAAAGTGGAGTCACAGGTAGACTGGCAAGTGAAGGTGTTTAGTACATTTGCCTTTATTGGTCAGTACATTGAGAATAGGAGTTGGGATGTCATGTTGTAAATGTACAGGACATTGGTTCGGTCACTTTTGGAATACTGCATTCAATTCTGATCTCCCTAACATAGGAAAGATGTTGTTAGACTTGAAAATATGCAGAAAAGATTTATAAGGATGTTGTCAGGGTTGGAGAGTTTGAGCTATAGGGAGAGGCTGAATAGGCTGGGGCTATTTTTCCTGGCGTTTCGGAGGCTGAGGCGTCACCTTATACAGGTATATAAAATCATGAGGAGCATGGATAGAGTGAATAACCAAAATCTTTTACCCAGGGTAGGGGAGTCCAAAGCTAGAGGACATAGGTTTAAGGTGAGAGGGGAAAGATTAAAATTCAGCAGCAGGAGTGCTAAGAGCACGAGTCAGGGGCCAGCCAGGAAGGTAAGGTTTCCTTTATTAAAAAAACTTGCCTCGTGAATAGGCGAAGTGAAGGCTGACTGCTGGGTAAGTGAACTAACATATTCGGGCAGTGACTAATCCCAAAACACTACACATGTAGTGTCTCCCACCCTTCCTCCTCCTCTAACTGAAAAAAGAGACTCTGTGTGGAGGGTCAGTAAGGTAAGCTTTTTTTTTCCCTTTTTCTTTATCTCTTTTGGCAATCTAGAATAGTGGGAATGGAAGCTAGGGCAGTTGCATGCTCCTCTTGTAGGTTGTGGGAGGTAAGGGTCACTACTTGTGTCCCTTCTGACTTCACCTGTGAGAAGTGCACCCACCTCCAGCTCCTCACAGACCGCGTTAGGGAACTGGAGCTGGATGAATTCTGGATCATTCAGGAGGCTGAGGGGATGATAGGTAGGAGTTATTGGGAGGTTGTCACACCCAAGTTACAGGATAAAGGTAGCTGGGTTACCATAAGGAGAGGAAAAGGGAATGGGCAGATAGTGCAGGGATCCCCTGTGGCCGTTCCCCTCAATAATAAGTATACTGCTTTGGATACTGTTGGGGGGACGACTTACCAGGGAAAGCCACAGCAGCTAGATCTCAGGCACTGAGCCTGGCTCTATGGCTCAGAAAGGAATGGGGAAGAATAGAAGAGTGATAGTGATAGGAGATTCAATAGTTAGGGGAACAGACAGGAGATTCTGTGATCCTGAATGAGACTCCCAGATGGTACATTGCTTCCCGGGCGCCAGGGTCAGGGATGTCTCGGATTGAGTCTACAGGATTCTTAAGGGGGAGGGTGAGCAGCCGGAAGTCATGGTACACATCAGTACCAATGACAAAACTAGGAAAAGAGATGAGGACCCGACAAATGAATATAGAGAGTTAGGTTGGAAGCTAAAAGGCAGGACGAGCAGAGTAGTAATCTCAGAATACCGATGCCACGGGCTAGTGAGGCTAGGAGAAGAGAGCGAGTGCAGCTGAACATGTGGCTACAGGGAAGGTGTAGGAGGGAGGGCTTCAGATATGTGGATTATTCGGATACCTTCTGGTGAAGGCGGGACCTGTACAAGAGCGACAGGTTACACCTGAACTGGAAGGGTTCCAATATCCTGGGTGGGAGGTTTGCTAGACTCTTTGGGAGGGTTTAAACGAGTTTGGCAGGGGGAAGGGAGCCAGAGCTATGGATCAGAGGATGTGGTAGCTGGTGTACAGGCAGATACAGCATGCAGAGTGTCTGTGAGGAAGGGTAGACAGTTGATAGGGCAAAGTTGCAGTCAGTGCGACGGGTTGAAGTGTGTCTATTTTAATGAAAGAAGTGTCAGGAATAAGAGTGACAAACTTAGAACATGGATCAGTACTTGGAGTTATGATGTTGTGGCCATCACGGAGACTTGGATAACACAGGGGCAAGAATGGTTGTTGGATGTTCCGGGGATTAGATGCCTCAAAAGAAATAGGGAGGGAGGTAAAAGAGGTGGGGAGTGGCTTTGCTAATCAGGGATGGTATCACAGCTGCAGAAAGGGAGGTCATCAAGGAGTGTTTATTTACTGAGTCAGTATGAGTGGAAGTCAGAAACAGGAAAGGAACACTCACGTTATTGGGAGTTTTCTATAGACTCCCCAGTAGCAACAGAGACACTGAGGAACAGATTGGGAGGCAGATTTTGGAAAGGCGCAGAAGTAATAGGGTTGTTGTCATGGGTCACTTCAACTTCCATAATATTGACTGGAACCTTCTTAGTTTAAATAGTTTGGATGGAGCAGATTTTGTCTGGTATGTCCAGGAAGGATTTCTGGCTCAGTATGTAGCTAGGCCAACTAGAGGGGAGGCTTTATTGGATTTGATGCTTGGCAATGAACCAGGCCAGGTGTCGGATCTCTCAGTGGGAGAGTATTTCGGTGGTAGTGATCACAGCTCCCTGACATTTACTATAGCCATGGAGAGGGATAGGAGCAGATGGTATGGGAAAGTATTTAATTGGGGGAGGGGGAGTTACAATGCTATTAGGCAAGAACTGTGGACCATAAATTGGGGTCAGACGTTCTCAGGGAAATGCACAACAGAAATGTGGACTTTGTTTAGGGAGCACTTGCGACGAGTGCTGGATAGGTTTGTCCCACTGAGGCAAGGAAGGGATGGTCAGGTGAAGAAACCTTGGATGATGAGACATGTGGAACATCTAGTCAAGAGGAAGAAGGAAGCTTACTTAAGGTTGAGGAAGTAGCCAGGAAGGAACTGAAGAATGGACTTAGGAGAGCTAGAAATGGGTATGAAAAAGCCTTGGGTAGGATTAAGGAAAACCCCAAGGCATTCTATACTTATGTGAGGAACCAGAGGATGGCCAGAGTGATGGTCGATCAGGGATGGTGGAGGGAACTTGTGCCTGGAGTCAGAGGAGGTAGGGGAGGTCCTTCATGAATACTTTGCTTCAGTATTCATCAGTGAGAGAGACCTTGACATTTGTGAGGACAGCGCAAAACAGGCTGATATGCTTGAACAGGTTGATGTTAGGAAGGATGATGTGCTTGAAATTTTGAACAACATGAGGATAGATAAGTTCCCTGGGCCAGATGGGATATACCCAAAGTTACTATGGGAAGCGAGGGAAGAGATTGCTGCGCCTTTGGTGATGATCGTTGCGTCCTCATTGTCCATTGGAGTAGTACCAGATGATTGGAAGGTGGCAAACGTTATTCCTTTGTTCAAGAAAGGGAGTAGGGATAATCTTAGGAATTACAGACTGGCCAGTCTTACTTCAGTGATGGGCAAATTATTGGAGAGGATTCTGAGAGATAGTATTTATGATTATTTGGAAAAGCACAGTTTGATTAGAAATAGTCAGCATGGCTTTGTGAGGGGCAGGTCGTGCCTCATAAGCCTTATTGAATTCTTTGAGGATGTGACAAAACACATTGATGAAGGTAAAGCAATAGATGTGGTGTATTTTAACAAGGCATTTGATAAGGTTCGACATGGTAGGCTCATTCAGAAAGTAAGGAGGTATCGGATTCAGGGAAATTTGGCTGTCTGGATGCAGAATTGGCTGTCCAATAGAAGACATAGGGTGGTCGTAGATGGCAAGTATTCAGCCTGGTGCTCGGTGACCAGTGGTGCTCTGCAGGGATCTGTTCTGGGACCTCTGCTCTTTGTGATCTTTATAAATGATTTGGATGAGGAATGGAAGGGTGGGTTAGTAAGTTTGCCAATGACACGAAGGTTGGTGGAGTTATGGATAGTGTGGAGGCCTGTTGTAGGTTGCAACAGAACATTGATAGGATGCAGAGCTGGGTGAAGAAGTGGCAGATGGAATTCAATACGGAAAAGTGTGAAGTGATTCATTTTGGAAGATCGAATTTGAATGCAGAATACAGGATTAATGGCAGGATTCTTGGGAGTGTGGAGAAACAGAGGGATCTTGGGGTCCATGTCCATAGATCCCTCAAAGTTGCTACCCAAGTTGATAGGGTTATTAAGAGGCGTATGGTGTGTTGGCTTTCATTGGCAGGGGAATTGGGTTTAAGAGCTGCAAGGTTAAGCTGCAGCTCTATAAA